GGTCCCCAAATACCTTCAGCAATATTAATGGGGCAAACAGAAAAAAATTAAGCAGTCGTTGATTAGATCATGTGTTATTTTACAGAGAACTTGATTTCTCTTGCCTTTGGAAAATATAGGCCTACTTTTCTCAACTGTGATTAGAACTAATTCTTCTCTAAGATTTGCTTAAAAGGAATATTCTTGCCCAGGCAGCAGGAATATGGTCAGTGCAACTGACCTTGTGTCTTGGCCTTCATGATTCAAAGAAAAATACATACTTAGGTATCAGATCTTTGAATTCAGTAATATGCCTTATAAAGGAAATATATATGCAATAGAAGTATGCATATAATGGAAATACACAACAATAACTAGAAAGTGGTCTACTATTGAGAGCCACTACTATATGCCAGATTCTTTACATCTGTTCAATACCTCATTTATATTCAAATAATCCTGTAAGGTACATATTATGATCACTCTTTGTTCCAGTGGAGTGTCAAAGATATTAGGTAATTATTCCAAGGACACTGAACTGGTTAGCGGTAGAACTGGAAGTTTGAACCTAGGTTTGGCTGACTCTGAAGCTTGTATTCTTTCTACTCAGTCTCTCCCTCAAAATCCTAACAATTACTGGGGATGACAGAGTTGGATAACTGAGAAGGCATGACGTTTATTACACAATAATGTCCAGAGGGAAAGAACCATTTACTGAACTTCTACTTTCTTTCAGGCATGATAATAAATGAGGTGGTATCTAGAAATCAAAGATGAGGTGTCCCTGCTCTTGTGGAAACCATGGGCAGGAGGGAAAGTCTGAAAAGAATATTAGTGATAAGGATGTGGGATGTCAGGGGCTATGAGAAAGGTAAGGATAAGCGACTGCTGGGGCCTGGGAAAGGCCACAGGCGCTGTGTGCATGTGTGGTGTGTGTGATTGGGGTATACGTTAAAGGACATTCCAGATAAGGGAACAGCATGTACAAAGTCGAGGCGTTGACAGCATATGGCTTATTGGAGAAGCTGCAGATTGTTTGCAAATCATAGTTATGGGTGGCAGCGTGATGAGAAATGAGAATGAAAGGTCTCGAGAATGGTGAAATCAGGAATTCTACTTTTTGCAATGACCATAAACTTTCAAAATTGTCTTGATGATAAGTATTTTCCTTCTGCTTTTGATTTCTCTCTTTTGACGACACACTGCAACAGACATAGTATTTTCCCAAAGAGGAAATGCAGTTAGTACACAAATATATGGGGAAAATAGGATTATTGGTTATGAAAGTAAAGAACAAAATTAACCCAACCAAAGAATAAAGCTAATGAAATTATCCAATATTGGTAAGAACAAGATGAGATAGGCATATTTGTGTTTTCCTGGCCGGTCTATAAATTGATTCAAATTTTTGTATACCCAATACATATTAAGATGTTTCAAATGTTTATGCCCTTGGATTCAATAGCATTAGTTTTGGAACTCTATAATAACAAAGTCTCTTTAATGGTGCATCATTAGAATCAGTCTAAGTAGCCATGGTACATCATTTTGATGCAACTTAATGTACCATTGAAAATTATGTTTACGAATAACATTTAAAATGCATTTCATACAATTCTAACTTAAAAAGTGGGGTACTGAAATATATATATATATATATATGTATTTTTTTCTCCCCCACTCTTCTATACTCTCTAAACGTGTACATTAAAAAAAGAAACTGGAAAGAAATCCACAGAACATTAGTGGTGGTATTCGGGTTTGGGTAGTAGTACTAGGGATAATTTTTTTCTTTGTACTTTCATGCGTTTTCCACATTTCCTTTAGTGACTTTCTAACTTTTATGAAAGAAGTATTACTACATATTTTTTGTTGATGAACAAGAAAAAATGTATTATAGAGTCCAATTTTATTTTATGTTTCCTGATGTCTGGTAAACTTCTCATATCTATAGAAGACAGATATGGCTGGGCTGGGCGGCAAGTGGATGATGATTTTTTAAAAATTCCCAGTGTTGGCAAACTTTCTCTTGGCATAGCTCTGCTGGACTTGAGTGAGATCTCCCCTAAGCCACTTGCCTCTTAGACTTTCTAGAAAGAGAAGTCATGAAAAATTACAATCTACCGTCTACGAATTACTAGGTGCTGCAGGACCTACTAAACAGTATGACTCTTTATTTTGTGAATGACACTCCAAGGATACAGTGCTTCACAGCTAGTCTCACATCAGATGCCACCTTCTCCAACTACTGTTTCCTCAAAGATGCCTTGTCTTTAGAAAGTGAGGTGTTCGGGGAGGCAGAGACAGCGATCCAGTGACTTGAAAAGCCTCAGCCTTCCACATACCTTGCCTGTTTCAAAACATCAAATCTGAACACGCATCTCTTTGTCAGGAATGGATAATTACAAAAGACCTCAATGAAGCCTATCCAAATAAGAACGCGAAGCAAGAAAACACGAGCGTTGTGTAACAGGAGCACAAAGCCACTACTAGAGAACAAGCCAAGATGAGAAGACATGAGGTTCGCGGGTTGGTGCCCTTGTATCTTTCTGTCTCGGATCTTCCCTATGCTTTTAATTCTGTCACTCATAAAGAATCCAGCAATGTGTGGCTCTTTGATTTTATGGTATATAGGAACACATTCTCCTCCAGCCGTGTTTCTCAGCCAGGGATGATTTTGTCTCCTATGGGACATTTGACAAAGTCTGGAGACAATTTTGGTTGTCACAACTAGGGGGCTGGTGCAATTGGCATCTGGTGTGCAGAGGCCAGGCATGTGGCTAAATACCCTACAGATCAGAGGCCCAGCCACCCACAAAAAGAATTTTTTGGTCCAATGTATGAATGGGGCCATGATTGAGAAACCTGCCCTTAAGAGAAGAAGCCTAGAACTTCTATCAAATTTTTTGTTTACTCAACGAATGAGAAAAATTATGGGAAAAATAGACACAAATATCAGCAGTCCTCCCTGGTGTTCAGAATCCCTTAGGTCTGGATCACTTTAGACATTTGCTGCTCACCCACGTCAACCAGTTCGTCTACTTTCTGAAGTTTAGAGATTTCACCGGGACATGATTATTTAAATTCCTGTTGTTTTCTCTTTTCAAAAGCCGGTTTTAATTGCCTAGTGTGGAGATGTCTAAGATAGAGATCCCGTTTTTTTCCTTTAAGATTTTATTTATTTATTTGAGAGAGAGAGAGCGAGAGAGAGCGTACAAGCAGGGTGAATGGCAGAGGCAGAGGGAGAGGCAGACTCCCCACTGAGCAGGGAGCCCGACGCGGGACTCAATCCCAGGACCCTGGGATCATGACCTGAGCCGAAGACAGATGCCTAAATGACTGAGCCACCCAGGCGCCCTCCTAGCTGAATTAATTATTACTCTGATGGTTGTGAAACTATGATTTGCTGATTTCTATATTTTATCTCCATTTATTAATTGGAAGTCTGTAGGGAAAATTTTTCTTCTCCTTTTTTTTCTGAGTGCTGGACCATTTTCACTTACTCAAGATTTTCCTAGTCAATCCATCCTTCACCTGATAATCCAAGAAGTATGACTCCTCCCCCTGGTTCTGTCTGCCTCCATCCCCTGTTGGCAAGTTTTCTACAAGCTCCTCATTGTACTGGGGATGTAGTAGCTCCTAACAATTTCATAGTTAGAACACCCTATTCCTCTGAGCTCTTCATTTCTTAAAATTAATCTCTCTGTAGTAAGTCATAATGATCCAAGCCTGAATCATTCTTCTAGCATCAGTATAGAAGACTAAATTATGACAATATTAGAAGACTTATTTCCCAAAGAGCACCAAGAAAGCCTCACGGATATCTGACAATAACAAACATAGTCTGTTTTCTACCCAATATCCAGTAGGGTCAGATACGTAGCTTGAAAATTGTCCTGAAAAACAAGTTAACAAATAATTTTACTAAAGAATCCTAGAAAGTAATTAGCAAAATCCCTTTTATTTTAAGTAGTCCAGGCCATGTTCTTGGATGTGGAAGATATTGCATAACTATCTTTGTAACTGGAAAATTATAAGAGAATGGGTATTACAGTAATAAGGAACCCCTGAATTTTTAAAAAATAAATATAGTCTAGAGCAGGAATAGCCACTGAGTAAATTCTGACATGGAATCTGAAGGAAATTTTTTGAATTTCTGTGATTTTCAGAGTTTTGTCTGACATAGTATAGATGATGATCATGTCCCCCATTCTAGAGACTTCATTTAGGTCTCCGCTTAAATGCAACTTCTCAGAAAGTCCCTTCCTGGTATCCTGGTGAAAATATACCTTCTCTCCTCCCCCATTATCTTCTTATACTATTCCAGTCCTTTTCTATCCTATGACTCTGATTTTCTATCTAAAAGGATCTTATTTATTTGCTTATACATTAATCATCTATCATTCCCCATACACTATAATGGTTGCTTTCATTCCATGAATAATTGAAGCCCAGGAGCCTAGGAATTATTTTTAAATCCTTCTTTTCCTTGTTCTTTCCTACAGGTCTTCTGTTTCATTGGCTAGTCTTAAGATTGTTCTAATTCCAAATATGTCTTGAACTTGTCTGCCTCTCTCAGTGTCCACTGCCCTTGCTCTTGTCAAAGGCCACCATCAGCACTCAGTACACTGTAGGGGCCCCTGCCTGCCATCCCACCTCACCATACCCCTTTGTAACCCATCTGCACAGGGGAGCTGGAAAGACTTTTTTATTTTATTTTATTTTTTATTTTTTTTTAAATATTTTATTTATTTGACAAGAGAGAGACACAGCAAGAGAGGGAACACAAGCAGGGGCAGTGGAAGAGGGAGAAGCAGGCTTCCCACTGAGCAGGGAGCCTGGTGTGGGACTCGATCCCAGGACCCTGGGATCATGACCTGAACTGAAGGCAGACGCTTAATGACTGAGCCACCCAGGCACCCTGGAGCTGGAAAGACTTAATAAAAATCCAGATGGTGTGTTCACTCTTGTGCTGGAACAGAGCCTGGCATATATGGGTTCTCAATAGTATTGGCTGAATGAATGGACAGACAGGAATAAATGAGCAGAGAGAATGAATTGGCAGAAAGTCTCCCTCTGTCTTAGCTGACCGAGAGGGCTAGGGACACTTGGTTAAGGTCACAGAGTTACCACATGTCCGATTTAGGACTAAAACCCAATTTTTCTAAGAATGGTCAAGTGTTTATTTATAGAAAACACATTGCCATATCTCATTCTTTCCTACTCTCAACAAATAAGTAGCATTTTACTTTACTTTAATGCACAGTCATTGTTCATCTTGATTGGAAAATTGATACCTATTTACTATAAAAGTTAAATTACTGGAGAGCATAAAGAAATTAAGGAGTAATTCATAATCCTCCTATGCATGAAACTTTTACTTTCATTTGTATACTTTTCTTCCCCATTTTTATTTTTTACCATAAGTATGCATTTATTTTTATAATCAGGAAATATAAAGAGTTATATTGCTGTATAAAGAATTTCATTCCTGGGAAATAACGGCTGGTGATATTTTAATGAAATTTATTCTAATATTTGATGGGTTCGCTTGCAATTTGTATGCTATGAATTTCCATAATGTATGGAAAGACATTTCAGAAGATGCTAACTGTAAGTTTAAGAAAGGAGACGTCATGATTTTAAACATGGCTCACATAATTAATAAATATAAGAAATTTGCATACTATACCTAATCCCCTGAATTCTTATAGCAACTGGTTGTAAGAACTGCAAAATATTCACAGTTATAGAAACCTAATTATTCCTTAGAGATATCCTCTGAGAAAGGAAAAATAAACTTTACAGCTTTTTTATTAGGTAATGTAGCAATACCATAATTCTACCTATATATCTATATCTATCTTTAGAAGCCAATTAATAGGGCACCTGGGTGGCTCAGTCGTTAAGCATCTGCCTTCGGCTCAGGTCATGATGCCAGAGTCCTGGGATCGAGCCCCGCATAGGGCTCCCTGCTCAGCGCAAAGCCTGCTTCTCCCTCTCCCACTCCCCCTGCTTGTGTTCCTGCTCTCGCCAACTCTCTGTCAAATAAATAAATAAAATCCTTTTTTTTTTTAAAAAAGAAGCCAATTAATATATATAAAATATTTGACATTTTCCCAGAGACTTTCTCTGCAGGTTGTTTTTGGATATATATATATATAAAGCAATGAAATAATTTATAATTTTTTTAAAGATTTTTATTTATTATTTTAGAGGGGGAAGGAGAGAGAGAGCAAGCGAGCAGGGGGAGGGCAGAGGGAGAGAATCTCCAGCAGACTCCCTGCTGAGTGCGAAGCCCATCCAGGGGCTTGATCTCAAGACCCTGAGATCACAACCCAGTGGAAATCAAGTCGGGGGCCTAACTGACTGAGCTATCCAGGTACCTCATGAAGTAATTTATAAACCTCATCACTGGTTTGCACATATTGGCAGAGTCACTCATGTGAAATATATGCTTAAAATTTATATAATTGCTTTAACATTTGTTATTAAAATAAACATTCTTACCTAATACATAGGGGAATAAATTAATGTTAACCTCAAAGTTATACTTTCTTAATTAAACAAGAAGGACTGTATTTATTTAAGATTACGTATCATACTCAAGCTGCCTTTGAAGGTAATTTTGTTTCCATTGTCCGTATTTTAAAATGGCTACTGTTTTCTCATTGTTCCTCTCAGTTCTTTAGGTGCTATCTATCCCTCACTCCAACAACCCAAATGAACCCCAATTTGCATCAGAATCATTTAAAATAGACCAAAGAACTAATTTCATAGCCCAGTTTTCAAAAGCATTGTCCACCTGCATCTAAAAAATGTATTTCTGTTGTTTTCAATCTAAAATTTAAAAAAAAATTAGAGAGTTATATTACTGTATAAAGAATAGTGTCTGGCACAGAAAAAGCACTTGATAACGTGTCTGACGATGCCTTTGTGATCGCCATTTTTATTGATGACGTATATTGGTATTACTAAAGGTTAATGGGATGTCTGCGTTATGCGCCATAATATTATCATTAGGGTGACTATATGGCATAGTGGGGGGATTCCTGGGGGACTCACGGTTTATGTCCATTGTCCCTGTGTCCTCTCCAGCTTGACATTTTAGCACTCTCAACAGCGTCCTGATTTGGGTGGTCAATTGTCTGGTCACTGACGAACCTGCAAAAGGAACCGTGATGAGAAGGCCCATGATGTCAACACTCATCTCGTGATTGGGCCTCCGGTCTCTCCAGGCCAAGTGAGAGGTTGAGCAGCTTGAATGGCGGTAAGCTTCCCAAATGTGGGGAAGGACATTTAAAATTCATATACACACTCCAGGGCCTCTTACACTTTGTAGATGAAGAATCAGACAACATTTGAGAAACAGAGACCACAAGGCTCTATCTCCCATCACCCTTCCGGTCAGGGTATTTTTTAGTCGGGATTTGGTTTTGGAGAAAAACTTAAAGACATTTCTTAGACACGTCCACCTTCTCATTTGGCAGACAAGGTGGACCAAAACTGTGGTCACAGTGATGGTCGTGGATGTGGGTAAAACTAGTGACACCTGAGTGGCAATCTTTTCCATACCAGCTGCTTGTGATTTATTTTTAGGTTGTGGGCATGACTTCTGTTCTTGCCTTTTCTTTTTTTTTCTTTCTTTTGCTTCAGGGTCTGTCTAATCTGTCAACTCAAAACTGTCCAGATAATTTCTTTGCCACCCTCCAGTCTGGCCCATCTGTTGCTGCTGTGGTTTGTCAACACACCTTGACGAAGTCCTATAATAACTTGAAATTGTGTCTTTCACTCTGTCTCCTAGGTCTTTGTGACCATGTCAAATGGGTGCACCATGTCACAAACTGTCCTCTTTTCTGTCCTTTCTTAGAGAAAGCTCAGTGTGGCTCCAAAAGCTCCTGGATTTAGCACTGGCTATATAATTTGTGGGGCTTAGTGCGAATGGAAAATGTAGGGTCTCCTTTTGTTCAAAAATTATTAAGAATTCCAAGATGGAAAGAGTAGACCGTTAAATCAAGCATGCGGCCCTTCTATTTCTGGAGTCCTGTGTACATAGACCTTGTGCCTTTGCAATTGGCCCCCCTTCTATCTTTCATCTATCAGTCTCCTTCATTCTCCTTCCAACTGACAGTTATGGACCACTATGCTTGCTATTGAAAATAAAAAATACGCTTACTTTTAGATTCTAATATCCCTACTTTTTAGATTCTGATGGCTAATATCCCCCATGAGGTAGATGAAATAGCACACACATTTGGGCTATATTTTTGTTTCCTTCAGATCATATGCTCATCTGTAATTTCCTGTACATCAGCCTTAAATTGCAAATTCTCTCCTCCATGTTCTTGTGATCTTTGTATGAACTACAGGAACCCAGCGGTCTCTACCTCCCTGGATCTCTTATCATTCCACGCTTGCCTGTTCCATTCCTACAGACAAGTTTGCTCACGCCTGGGTAACAGATTATGCCAATAAAAGTGTTTGTTGAAGTGAGTTTAAGGCGGGGGCTCAAACTCCGATGTCTCTAAGGATTGGGCAGGTAATATGCCATAAAAAGTAAAACCACCACCGAGGGATTGGCTCATGACCAGAGAGAAAAAAGATGCCTACTCAGCCACAGAAGATTATTGCCATGTGAGATGTATTCACAGTGTTGTCAAGTCTTTTCAAAGAAAAGTTAGAAATCTAAAAAATTATATGAAATATTCTTTTTCTGTTGCCAAATAATTTCACTTTTGAAAAGA